TTGGAGGATATGTGTCCTGGTAACTTTTTCTGCTTTTCAAATTTTGCACAATCCATGTCACACCAAAGCATTAGGGGGAGAGATCTTACAACTAAGCTGAAGCTCCAGCTGGGCTGGGGGACAAACCCAAAGGACTCCCAGCTACAAGCCCCCAGGAGCCCATCCACACATCTTTCCTGGCGACTCTCATAGCTTCACAGCCACTCACCACGTCCAGTGACTGCATGTGAACATGTGGTAATGAAATCTTCATGCGGAGCTACATTCCTTAGCCAATTTAAAAATTTTTTTTAAATTCTGAGACAGGATCTCACTAAGTTTCACAGGCTGGTCTTGAATTTACAGTCCACCTGCTGCAGTCTTCCAGGCACCCCTTGGACCACTGTGCGCAGCTGCAATGCAGCTAGTTTTCTACATACAACATTCCCTTCTCATTCATACCAAAGCCATCCTATTCACACCACCATCTCAGAGAAACCATTATGAAAGCCCATTTGGCCTTTTCAAAGCATCTTCCAGGTGCCACCACTAGGAGTGATCCTGCAAATGTCAACCTGACCACATCGCTGCTCTGTAACTTAAAACACTTCATTGGCGCCTGAGTCCTGTGAGAAAAGTCCTCACTTGACGCACATGGGCAGCACTGGCCATGACCCACCACACACCTGTTTCATTCCTCCTACCATCTTCAGTCCCAAACCTTGTCCTTGAGCTTGGGCAACTAAAAGCTGAGGACAGTTCCTCTGCACATACTCTCCTGTTTCTCTTCTCCAAGGTTACTCATGGTGCCCCTCTGCCTGCACTGGCATTTCCCCGTGAGATGTCTGCCTATCAGCCTGAATTTGGAGGACACTGTCATACCTTAGTTTTGTGCCCACAAATTCAGTACTTGGATTGACATCGACAGAACTTGCTATCCTGAAAAATCCACCTTGTGCCTCACAAAAGGAAAGAGCCAGCATGCAATTATCCCACAGCAGGTACATTCCATGATAATTAAACTCATAATGAAATCTGATGAGCAAGTGAGATATAAAAAGAAACCCAGTCCTCTGTATGGAGTATCTGGGATAACAGCGGAGCCACAGAGCCACCTTTACCCCTCTGCTTGGCCCTGTTATGTCCGATCAGCCCCAGTATGGTGGCTGCTTTCTTCCTTGTGGGGAGAGGAAACAACACTTACCATCATCACTGGTACACTCCTGCAGTACAAGTGGGTGATGCCGCGGAAGCTTGCATAAGGGCTGCCGGCGACCCTTGGACTTCTTATTCTCCTCCAGGGAAAACATGTATTCATCTGCAACCTGGGCAAAGGACATCAAATTGAGTCCAAACTTGCCCACAGGGAAGGTTAGCCTTACAGTAAAAACCAAGGGAGAGAGAGAAGCACGGAAAAACAAAGCAAAACACAGAAAAGACCGGTCTTCAAAAAAGCCATACAACTACCATGCAAAGAAGTCTCGTCTATACCTGACAAATTTTAAAATTTTACAGCAAAATCTGTATGTAAAGTGTGGATCCTGGCTTTCTGGAACAGCCTGGAGCAAGTATGTCAAAAATAAACCTGCTCTATCTCTAAAAGAAAACCACAGGTCCTCCCTCTGACGCTCATGGCCCTGAGACATGCTGAGAGCCCCATGGAGTCCAGCTGTCCCTTGCTTGGACCAGGCAGTAACTGAAACAATGTGTAGCAGGGACAAAGTCTAGAGACATCCAAAGGTAAGAGAGGTACCTTAGCCATTACAAGAAAGCAAGCTGGCTTCTCTCTCCTTACACATGGACCAGTTCTCACGGACCCTGTTTCATCCTCAGTGAGTCAGGGCAAGATATCAACCAGGAGAGTGTATCTAGAACTCTGGCCTCGCTGCAGTGGGGAGGCCGACGTGACGCTGCACTTATGTAACGCCAGAGTGAATGGAATGAGGTGTAAAATGTACAGGATTGCTCAGTGATACTACATGAGAGTTTGTTTACTTAACATACTTAAAACTTGGTTATACTTATATTAGGGGACACAGGGTTGGTGAAACCTATTAAGTGAGGAAGTAGGCAACTTGGCAATAGTGACAAAATTCATTCTTCAAGAGTGCTACAGAGAAGAGATGCCACTATACTTGCCACTTCAGAGAAGGTGCCCTTGGGCCAAAGACTCCCAGGTGTAACTCCCAGGTGTACCCTAGGGCTTTAGGACCCCACTGGGGAGCTCGAAACAACTGTGCTAGGCCACTGACAGACTCAGCAGAGCCTGTGCATGCAAATACAGACTTTACCCAAGAAAGTGATACAAAATAAACTTTACCAACAGGTTTCTGTGCCCACATGCCAATCCATTTGGCAAATACTTACTGAGCACCTATAGTGTGTGAAGGCTGTTTAGGAAAGGAAGATGTTCAGAAATAGATTTGACAAAGCACTGTGATCTGGGTTCACACAAGCCAAGGGGTGCCACAAGAGTATAGGAATGGTGCGAAGGGAAGAGTCAGGAACCTGCTACGACTCATGGGCACAAGACTTCCACAAGCTGAGACTCCCACTGAGACCTGCGCTGTATGTGCTGTCTTAAGTGCTGGTTTGCAAAACCTTAGGATGTAGCTCAACAGTAGAACACCTGCCTAACACATAGGAGACCCTGGGTTTGATCCCCACCATGGCAAAAACAAAAACTGTGCATCAGGAAGATCCCCCAGGAGCCTCCACTGAGGTACACAGGAAAGGCTCTTGGCCCCTCTTCCTTTCCAAGCAAAAGAGCTTTGCTCTTGATTTCTATTCTCAAAATGAGTTAAGATTGTACTTAAAGGATTCTTTAGCTAGAACAAACTAGAATCCCTTACATGCCAAATTTTGTTTTTGGGAGGTTTGATGATGTTGAAAATTGAATTCAGAGCCCCACAAAAGCCAGACACATGCACTACCACTGAGCTACAGTGACTTTTTTCTACCTTGTCTAGACTAGCTTTCAACCAGTCCCAATTTTCCTGCCCCAGCCCCCCAAGCAGCTTGGACATATTCCTGCCCTTTGTTTTTTTTTTTTTTTAACCTTTTATTCATTTGGTATAGGATCTCACTATGCAGCTCGGACTCCTGTTTCAGCCTCCCCAGCACTGGCATTACAGGCATATGCCACCATGAACCCGGGTCCTTGCACCTGCCAGGCAGGTACTCAGACCGCCAACCTATCTTCCCAGCCTGCCAACGTTTTTGTGATAGATAACATGTGAATGAATTTAGAAGCATATATCCCAACCTACATAGACAGTCATAAATTATATATGCTAATGGATTTATATACATTTTACAACAAAAATGCAAATGGGTAAGATAAAAATAAAGCTCATTTTAAAATGTTATTCCTATAGTCAGTCACGGTGGCACATGCTTATAATCCTAGCACTCAGGAAGGTGAGGCAGGAGGATTGCTGTGAGGTCAAAGCCAGTCTGAACTACCTAGCAAGACTGTCTCAAAAATTATAAATTTAAAACAATTTTCTTTCAATTTTATTCCTGTCCCAAATAATCTTACATTCCCCATTTTGATGACATCCAGGTAACCAATCTACACCTGCAATGTGGCAGAGAATGGGAAGGAAAGAAATGAGAATAAAAGAGCCAGAGGGGCTGGGAAGATAGCTCAGTGGCATAAGTATCTGCCTTGCAAGTGCAAGGTCCCAAGTTCGATCCCTGGTACCACAAAAAAAAAAAAAAGGCAGAGATAGTAGAAGCTGCTGGTTAGGGTCACTATGTTGACAGCACTGAATTAAGAGGCTTTGTATAAACAAAGAGGGCAGATAACAACAAACTAAATAGATGTCCTTCAATTAGATCTAAAGGGGCTAGACATGGTGATGCACACCCATAATACTAGCACTCAGAAGGCTGATGCAGGAGAATCACTGGAGTTGAGACTAGCTGAGGATACAAAGTGAGCTCAAGGCCAGCTGAACTGGTAAGACCTTATCTCAAAAAGAGACAAGGAAAAAAAAAGATTTTGAAACTGTCTCATTGCTATTTCTCAATAAAATTAATTTTTTAAAAAATCTGGAAAAAAAAAAAAAAAAAAAACCTACCCAAAGGGCACTACAAAACACAGACCAGTGAGGGCCAACCTAGACAGCAGCAGTTATGCAAATCCATTCCAAGGCCTAGTGGCTCTCTTTGCACAGCCAAGGAGAGGTGCATGTTTCGAAGTGGGGAATGTAAGATTATTGGGGACAGGAATAAAATTGAAAGAAAATTGTTTAAAAAAAAATTTTTTTTTTTTTGAGACAGAGACTTGTTAGGTAGTTTAGGCCAGCTCTGACCACACAGCGATCCTCCTGCCTGAGCCTCCTGAGAGCTAGGATTACAGGTGTGTGCTACTGTGCCCAACACCAAGCATCCAGTGGCCTTTTCCTGAGATCTAGAATGGGCATTTTGGGGACATCTCATTCAGCACCTCTTAGATACCCTGGAGACTTTACAAAGCACTGTACACGTCTTGAAGCCATCTCCTCTCATTGCTACTTATCCAAGGAGGGTAGAATTTCATCCTGTTTTAGAAGGTTAAAAACAGTCTGGTATTATAATATAGACCAGCAAAGCATGCTTATATATTCTTTACACTGGCTGGCTGGTTGGCTTTTTTCATTACCTGAGACAATGGCCTCTCATCGTTAATACAATGGTTAGTATCCCCACCTGTCATTAATAGAGACATTCAGATTTGGTCAGATGTGAGATTCAAATAATCTGACTCAATAGAATCAAAGATAGATATCATCTGGGCCCAGAGTCTACTAACAACCTGTCTTTGTTGACTAGGTAGAGTGACTGCCCCTGTAATCCTAGCAATCAGGAAGCTGAGGCAGGAGGATTGCCACAAAGTCAAGGCCAGCCTGTGCTACAAAAGGGCAAAATTAAAAATTCTGAGTGGATGAGATTACCCAGGGGATATGAACTGACTAAATACCACACTGTCCAGGGACAGAAGGACAAAGAGAGAAAAGGAACAATTTCTGAGAAAGACTCATGGGACCACAGGCTAGAGATGACTGAAGAACTCAGCAACTGCACCGTCAGAATTTTAGATTATCTCCAGCAGGTACGACAGAGCTAAGGAGAAATACATCCTAGAGCTACTGAGACGAGCAAGGGCAGGAATGAGATGATCTGAGGAAGAAAGGTGTTCCAGAGCTGGATTTCAGGTCAGTAATAATAAGAGTTTAGTTTTATAGGCAAAAGAGGAAAGAAGCTTATAAAAAGATACTAAGATATGTGGTAGACAGAATATGGTTCAGATGTCCACATCCTAATCCCTATGAATACATTATGTTAATACAACAGTGGAGGATTAAATGGGCTAATCAGATGACCTTAAAATATAGGGATTATCCTGGATTATCCAGGTAGGTCCAGCATAATTGCAGTGGTGCACAGTAACAGAAGTCCGTCTTAGTGACACGCATGGCCTGCTAGATACTGCTGCTGCCGCCTTTCAAGATGGAAGAGCCATCAGCAGGGCATCGGGAGGCCTGTGGAAGCCATGGAGCGCAAAGAATGGACTCCCCCTCTTCCTCAGCCCTAAGAAGGTGCACAGCTCAGTCTGTCCCTTAACTTTAACAGAGAGAGCCACTGCAGACTGGGGAGCCCAAGAACTGTAAAGTAGTAAATATGTATTGTTTCAAGCCTCTAAGTTTGTGTAAGTTCGTAGGTCAGCAATAGAAAATTCCTCCCTCCTACAGGGCCAGAGAGTAGACAAAACATTTTATAGATCCAGTTACTGAAGAGACAGGGTCAAGATAAGAACAGCAGGGTCCAATTTTGGGAAACAACCAGGACTACATGTACCAGCTGCTTGTTCAAAGTGCCTCCTATCTACCCAGCATATGGACCCAGGGCACTGTGCTTGCCCCCTGAAAGCACATGGGCGGACAAGACATTATCTCTAACCTAAAGGAAAATGCAACTCAGTAAGAAAAACCACATTTCCCAGTGTGAAGCCAGTACTCTGATCATTGTCTTGCTGCCTCTGACCCAAATGGCTAGATCTATTCCAAATATTTCTCCTGCATGGCATCTACACTCTCCCTGGAAGGGCTGGCCAATTCCTTGTTCAACCACCTAGGTAGATGAGCCTGGGCCTCTGTGGCAACACACAGTAAGTGGAGCTCAGGAGCTTGCCCGAGGGTCCTATGCAGCTAGGATGGGGACGGTGTAGGATGTCCATCCTGAGGGACAACTGCAGCTCACCGCTCCAGCACTGTTCCCTGTCCCAGCATCGGGTGCCCAGAGCCAAAGTCCTCACAAGGCTTGTCCTGCACAGAGAAGA